GAGTTCCCTGGGCTGCACCTGCCTGCAGCAGTGAGCACTCTGAGGCGCTGCCTTGCCAGGTGCCCCCCGTGGGGCCAAGCTGGGAGGAGAACACCCCGCGGGGGTGAGTTAGAAGCAGCGCCATGCCCTGCTTTCCTGGCTCTAGAAGGGGGCGTGAGAGCGGGAGACTGTTGGAGCTGTCGTCCATTGTGCAGGGAAATAGAGCTTCCTTTCCCACGCTGCCTTGCCGGGCGCATCCGGGGACCATGCTGGAAGGTTTGACGGGCTCAGTGGCTCTAGTTGCACAATACTGTATTTTATTTGGCATTACCCAGCTAGCTGAGGGGAGCCACATGGCTTCCTGCCCCACTCCCTCTTTGGTGACCATTGGTGCACCATTCCGAGGACTAGACTTCTGAACTGGGAGCATAGCAGGGACGGAAAAGCAATGCCCCAGCTCCTCCCCATTCCCACGGTCCCTTTCCCTGGATTCGACAGCAGCGTCTCTCTTGGGACTGGTCCTTTTTTCGCTCAGGTGTGCAATAGCCTGCCGGAGCCCCGAATGCTCTTGGCAGAGTTTGCGCTTCCGTTGCAACTGGCCTAGGGGCTCTGCTGCCTTCCTCTTCGGTGGGAGCAAAGAGCCCACCCCCCGCACATACGGCATCCAGACCAGGAACGGTGAGGCAGTAACTAGAACGGAAACGTCTTCCTGAGCCCTGATGCTCCAGGGCTGAGTTCACTTCAGTTCAAAACGAGGCTTGCAGAGAAAATGGTCCGTTTTATGCAGTGAAGGGAAGCAAAATCTGTTGGGGTGGGAGAGAAGGGGAGGGACTGTCAGGCAGGAGGAATCCTGTGCTCTCCAGGGGCTGGAGTGAGAGGACCTGGCACCCCAGTAGCAGAAGGGCCGGTCTGTGCAAACAGCTCTGTACTGAAGGAGCTGAAAGCTCCGCCAATTTGCAGTAATTTCAGTTTAATAAACCAGGAGGGAATCTTAAATGCCAGTGGTCCTATTTCCCATCCTGTGGCTGTAACGATTCCTGGGAGAGTAAACTGCCTGAGAGCTGAGACCTGGAGACTGACGCCAATCACCTGTGCAGCCAGTCACATGCCTCCTCTCGTAATAGCCCTTTTATAAGGATCTGCCCCACCACCTTTGAGTTCCTGAAGTTGTCGGTGTACATGTGGGAGTTCAGTCTCTTTCTTCCTGTGGTTTGTTTAGGAAGCACTGCCAGTGTGCTTGGCGCTGTACAAAATGGAGACCCAAACCAAACATTTATTCAGATTAGGTAGGTTAAGGCTTACCCTGCTTTTGTTGCTAGAGCAGCTGTGGCAACCTCTCTGCTGGGCCCGAGAGTCAGGCCCGGGGAAGACGGACATGCTGTGTGAGGGGGTGAAAGAATCACAGGAAGGCAGGAGAAGCCGGATGACTCTTGGGAGGGGAGAACCTAGGTGGTTTAGTAGAAACATCCCCATTTTCCAGTTCATATATGGAACAAACCTATCACTCGTTAGCAGCTTTCCCATAGCTGTTAATAAAACTGGAGCACAAGTTTTGGGTGATGTGACCAAGCACAACCAGAAACCACGATTCTCTGAGCTTCCATGACTGAGAAATTGATCTGCTGCTCCGCCAGGGGGCAAACATGCATAATTTATTGGCGTGGTACTGGGCTGAGGGCAAGCTGTTCATGTGCTGCATGTAGAGAGCAATTCCCTCTAACGAGGGAGAGGTGATGCACTTTGTCTGGCATCGGGCTGCTCAGTTATTCAGAGCTCGGGGTGCAGCCGTTGTACCTTCTCTCGAGGTTATTTTAGGGCGGTGTCATCATTGAAGAGCGCTGGATGTCAGCAGCTCTGTAAGTTTTATTTGCCCTGGAAACACCATGAAATGTATCGGCAGGTCCTGCCTCATAAACAAACTCCTAGGATGTCTGTGCTTACAGCTTAGGACCGACAGTCCTTCAGAGAGTGTGATGTATGATGTGCCTGGGTGACAGAAGGCTAACAGTACTGGTAGCACTGGTGCAGTGCAGCTGTTAACTGGGGGCTTCGTAAACGTCTTCCACACCTGGGCTTCCCAAAGAGCCAAACTATCCAGTGACCGTACGCCTGGTGGGGCTTTAGTCCCTGAGCTGTCTTTGCTGTGGGTTTGTCTGTTCCCCTAACCAGCACGCTAGAAAGACGTTTGGAGTGGGCAATGGTTTGGTGCTATTCAGATTCCCAGAGTGATTTTAAGCTGCAGTAAGATCTTGTCTCTTCTGACAGAGAAACTGGAAATTAAGCAAGTGGGCACATTTGTTACAGTGAGTGAAGCTGATGTGCAGAGCACGGGAATTGTCAGTCCAGATCAGAGCAGTCGCCCGTCTAGTCCAATATTCTGTCTCCAACCCAGTGTGGTACCAGATGCTTCCGAGGAAGATTCAGGAAAGCTCCTTGTGAACAATTACAGAATAACCTGCCCAGAGGAGAAGTTTTTTCCCCAGCCCCCTCTCTGTTAATTGACCTCTGCCCTGAAAAGTGAGGGCTGGTATCCTTTTTGAAACAGAAGTGCCCTCTACTGACAGAGGGTATTTGTGCTCACTGTCTCTGCGCGTTTCATACAGCTCAGTGGATTGTCTATGCACTGTACATCCATCTCTGCTGCAGTTCTTAAGTAGTGTGTGTGTGTGTGGTGGGGGGGGGGGGCGGCGTTTCCTAGGCTAGGGAAGAGGTAATTCAAGGGCCATCTTCTCGCCACGTATGACCAATCCGGAGCGCCTTGCTGTTCAGCTGCTGCGAGTTCAGCAGCAGCACCTAGGCCCGAGGCGTGGCTAGGTGAACTTCTGTGGGCAAGGCTGGAAATCAAGGCTATTGTCTAGCCCCTCGTCTCAGAAATGCCTCGTAAGCTGCTGTGACATTGATGCAGGGCAGCTGTCTTCAGCCCGAAGTACTGATTGTGGGAGACTGCGGTGTTCGCCAGGAGGCTTAGTTACCTTGGAAACCTGTTTTAACTGGATCTCGGCTCCAGTGAAGAGCCCATCTGTACCTGCTCTTTCTTTGTTCGCAGAGAAGTATTGGCCTGAAGTCCTCCCAGGGCTGAATTCCTGTGGAATGGAGGCCCTGACCACAGTTTGATTCAGAGGATGAGCTGTAGTGGGGGTGGCGCTTTGTGGCTGAATTTGAATGTGCTCCGGGAGGGAGGCTGGGGAGGCAGTTCCCCTCCCTTTGGGCTGGTCGAGGCTCTCTGCTGATATTAGTGAACTTCTGGCATTGGGAGCAGAGCTTTCAGGGCTTTAGTCAGGCTCCGTTCAGACGGCTGTCACTCACTCCTTTTTCTGCATGCTTGAGTCTCTGGAAACCCAAAGAAATGGACAATTTCCCCCATATCTTGTTGCTTCCCCCCAAATTTCCTGTCCCGTAGCTATGTATGCGGAGCCAGTAGTTCTGCCTCATCTGAAAGCTAGTTTTCCTGTTCTGTACAGCACCCTCCCAAATCAGGGCTGGTTTGCTCCCGTGCCCTTGAGAAGGGACGTTAGAATTGATGTGTGTGACACGTACAAGTTACAGGACTAGCTTTGAGGGCAGTAGTGGGTGAATTCTGTCCAAGGATTAATTGGTCCCTATGTGCTGTATTGCCCAAAGGCTGAGGCAAATATTGAACACTCACAGGAACTATTTCAACACACGGGCAACTCTTCTCCACCCCCCGCTCCACCCCCCCGCCGCTCCTGCCTTCCAAGTGTGCAGTGTTCACTTCTTGACTCTGTTACATGCGGGTGGGTGATGGCTCTGAGTGAGTCTCCCAGAGACCTCGCTGGAGCTTCCAGGGTGGGTTTTCCACCAGCCGTCTTTCTCCAGCACCCATTGCTGTTCCTAGCCTGCTTCTGCTGCCCTCATTTAGCTGTTTGCCGGCCTTACTGCTGCTGTTGTCTGGTTGAGCTGGGTCACGGGCAGCGGCATGTGCTGGATGGCAGGATTGCCGCAAGCTGGAATGCTGGCTTTGAAAAAGATGAATCCAATCCAAGTTGTACCTGTAAAACCGAGGGCTCAGCCTGACGTGAAGCTGTTAGCTCCAGGTACTGATCAGTAAACAGCCTTTTAAAATCTGCTTTTACAGCTCCCTAACTCGCACGTCCTGTCCACCTCATTTGGCTGTCTTAAAGTCCCAGAACCCCATTCCCGACGGCTGATTTCAGAGCAGAGACTGTGTTTAGAATCTCATGTAGACAGACCCACAAAATAGGCTTTGGTTCCTGACCGTATCCAATGTGGGGGGTGGGGGGGGAGAGGAAATCTCTATGATGCTAATAACTACCAATAATCGTGATGGTCTATTTCCGTTTTTGCAAACGTTCATAATGCAGTGATGCTTTGTAAATTGGACAGGCTTAAAGCCCTTTAATTAGATTAACGGAGTTCAAATGAAAGGGCTAATTATCTTTCACTAGTTTCAGAGTATCTTTCACTAGTGTTGGATGAGCCTTTATTGATTTATTTGTCTTCAGGAGATGAATCTGAGCTGGATTTATCGTCTTCCCTGCACAGCCGTAGATAACTGGCACAATAAAGTACCAGGTCCTTACTAGTGCCATCACACCATCACAGAGGCAGCAATGCTGCAGAAGAGCCATGCTGTGTGTTCTGCCTCGTGTGTCGTCAACACAAGGGACAACAGGGTTCCAATTGCACAGCCTCATGTTGATGGTGTATGGAGCAGAAAGGAGACGGCTGGATTCTCCGGGTTCCAGGCATAGCTTGAGGTGATGACAGGTAGAAAAACCTCATTGTCAAGAGACTTGACTGACAAGTAACTCCACTTGAAACTGACAGATTTGATCTGGAAGTTGGTGGAGGAGAAATAAACCTGGGACGATGCTAATTTCCAGTCATTTATCAGAGCAGAATAGCATTTTAACTAGTAAAGGCATTAGCAAGTTTGAGTACTTCCTGATCACTGGGCCAGTGGCTAGGATGGTGAAAATGCACTTGTATTTAAATGGCTTCTTGAAAAAAGCTTTGATTACTTCTATCCTTTCCCTTAGCTCTGATCAACTTGCTGAAGTTCCTCATGTCCAATGAGACTGTGCTATTGGCAAAACACAACATCTTCACCGTGGCGCTCTTGGTGAGTGTAGAGAAAGTGGGTTCACGTTGAATGGCCCAGAGGAGGAGGTTCCGTGGGGGGCTGGGGCTGGCCTGCTGAACAGGTAGTTAAACTGTGCAGAGATCAACGTACAGATCTCCAGCTTGGGAACCTATGCATGCTAAGGAGACATTGGAGAATCCCAAAGACAATACTCATTGGGATGAGGGGTGTGGACAGAAGGATGTCTGGGATGACTCGTACCGGGGACCTTAGAGGTCCTCCTGTTGGGGGCCAGGGCAGTGGTTTGCCAGACATCTGTGCTCCGTGGGAACTGAAGGGGGATAGAAAAGCAGGAGAAGGGAGATATTAGTCTTTCATACCCAGATGGGGTGAAAGCCCAGTGGTGTAGACAAGATTGAGTTGTCTCCCTGCCTTTGCCAGTCTGGGTGAAGTGTGTTTTGTGGGAGAAACCAGGAAAAGCCAGCTTGGGATGGGAGACCCTGAAACTGGAAAGAGCTAACCAAACAAAGGGGTGGGGTGGGGACTTGTCTTAATAACCTATAGAAAATTACTGGCCCAGCTAGCCGCTGGCCTGTTTCTGATAGTAGCTCACGGCAGATGCTTCCGAGGGAGGTCCGAGAAACCCCTTAATGGGTGCTCAGTCATGTAATAAGTTTGCTCTTAAGGGAAGTTCCTTTCTCATCCCAGGTAGTTGGTGGCTGGTTTATTCCCTGGAGCAGGCAGAGTTGTAGATCGTTGGATTCTACAAGCTCATGCCCCGAATTCATTAGCTCAGTTTTCCGAGTCGTGGTAACGGTGTGCATGCTGTATTCTCCCCACTCCGCAAAGCGTCAGAAATCTGCCTGTCTTAAGGTTTTATCCACATTCCACATAAGAAATGACAGAGCAAGAAGGTGGCGTATGACCACTCTTTGATGGGCTAAAAGAATGTTGTCCAGTGTACTATGGGCTGATTACTCTGAAGGTTTTAAACATCATCTGGGTCTGATTGGAGTCTATTGTAAATTAGATTTTGTGTAACGATCCCCTATTGTAATTGTAATTTTTTTGTAGGTAGTGAACTTGTTCAACATGTTCATCACCTACGGAGACACCTTCCTCCCAACGCCCAGCAGCTACGATGAGCTGTACTACGAGATCATCCGTATGCACCAGAATTTTGATAACCTCTACTCCATGGGTGAGTGAGTGGCCTATTTGAGATGCCATTGATAAAAACAAGCAAGAAATAAGCTGTGTGAGAGATGCGCGGCGGTGCATGTTTGGGGGGGGGGGGCGGGTGAATATACATGTTTCTGTATTTGCATAGATACCCAGTAAATTAAGACTTGAGAAAGGGATAAATCTGTGAAAAGAATAAATTTCATTGGCTCTTCACCAAAGGAACAGGCCTGTTCAAGTGATCCAGGACGGTGTACAAGAGGGCACCTGTCGAACAAGCATGTGTTGTTAATGCAAATCTGTATTTGCCATGTGACTAAATATGTGATATTGAAATGTCATCAAAAACACCCTGAACCCTCATGTAGAGTTAACCAGCCTATAGTTTGTCTCTGCCAAGCCGTGTTGCGCTCCCAGCTGGGAAAACATGCCTTCATCCCAGGTTGGAGAGCAAACACAAGCTGCAGAACCAATCAGCACAGGGAAATGGGCATTGTGAACAAAAGGGGTGAAAAGCATTTGAGAAATGCATGACAAGAAACCCGCTGCCTTGGACAAATCACACGCTGGGCTCCTGCGGCGCCAGAACAAAGCCAGAGAGCAGCCCCCACAAGCCCACGGGCAGGGCGGAGGAAATCGCTGGACAGAAGAATGTGCACACTGGCAAAGCAAGGAGAAACCATCCTTCAAAGAGAGAGGAGTGCATTGGAATACCACCAAGTGAACCCAGCAGGGAAGCAAGGAACAAAGGAGAGAAGCAAAAAACATGTGGAGGCATAATCAAGCAGTACACAAACGAGCCTGCATTGAAGAACAACCGCAGCAGGGCTGGTTTAATGCCTGTGTGCTGGAAGCTGCGGATAAAGGGATGTCTGTGCCTCTTTGTCTGCCCCTCTCCTGAGGGGTATGTCCCCCCGGTCACTCCCACTCCCAGTGTGAACATGTAACTGCCATTGTAAATAATGGGAGTAACACAAGCACATAACAGGGGCTAGAAGACCTGTAAGAGAGAGCCAGCCAGCCACGGTGCACTACAGACTAGATGCAGAGAAGCACCCCCATTAAAATAGCTGTTTCTTCCGACTGCAATTGAATTGAATCTCTGCAGAATAAATGACATCTCATCTCAAAAGAAATACATTAGCACTGGAAAGGGTATGGAGAAGGGCAACCAAAGTGATAAGGTGAATGGAACAGCTTCCGTATGAGGAGAGATTAATAAGACTGGGACTGTCTAGCTTGGCAAAGAGAAGACTAAGGGGGGATATGATCGAGGTCTATAAAATCATGGCTGGTGTGGAGAAAGTGAATAAGGAAGTGTTTGCCCCTTCCTATAACACAAGAACTAGGGGTCACCCAATGAAATGAATAGGCAGCAGGTTTAAAACAAACAGAAGGAAATACTTCTTCATACAACACACAGTCAACCTGTGGAACTCCTTGCCAGGAGATGTTGTGAAGGTTAAAAATATAAGTGGGTTAAAAAAAGAACTAGCTAAGTTCCTAGAGCAGGGGTGGCCAACCTGTGGCTCCGGAGCCACCTGCGGCTCTTCAGAAGTTAATATGCGGCTCCTTGTATACGCACCGATTCCAGGCGCCAACTGTCCAATGTGCCAGGGGGTGCTCACTGCTCAACCCCTGGCTCTGCCACAGGTCTGGCCCCCAGTCCACCCCTTCCCGTCCCCTCCCCTCAGCCTGCTTTGCCCTCACTCCTCTCCCTGCCCCCCACAGCCTCCTGCACGCCACGAAACAGCTGATCAGGGGAGGGGAAGGGGGAGGCGCTGATCGGTGGGGCTGCCAGTGGGTGGGAGATGGGAGTTGGGGAGCTGATGGGGGGCTGCTGACATATTACTGTGGCCCTTTGGCAATGTACGTCGGTAAATACTGGCTCCTTCTCAGGTTGGCCACCCCTGTTCTGGAGGACGGGTCCATCAGTGGCTGTTAGTCAAGACGGGCAGGGACACAACCCCATGCTCTGGGTGTCCCTAAACCTCTGACTGCCAGAAGCTAGGACTGGATAACAGGGAATGGATCGCTCAATAAATTCCCCTGCTCTGTTCATTCCCTCTGGGCACCTAACACCAGCTGCTGTCAGAGACAGGATACTAGGCTAGATGGACCACTGGTCTGACTCAGTCTGGTCGTTCTTATGTTCTTCCGGTTTTATCCCTCTGGTGTAAATTACCTGTATTTTTTTGTCACCCATGCAAAGTACCAAAGAGTCAGTGGTGCTCACAAAGCAAATGCTGCCGCCCTGCCTTTGGAGCCAATCACTGCCCAAGGACATGTCTGCACTGGGCAGTGGGTGAAGCCAGAGAAAAGTGGAACGAAGGAATAACACGCTCATACTCTCTCGACTGGGCAGCAATAGGCATGTCTGACCTGCTGAAACAATTCATTTCTCACATGAATACGTTTTCGTTCCGCTCTGTGAAGCGAAACCCCGTGAATTAACACTACAGATGCCTGAGTGGAAACCCGCTCTGAATTCATCGCTGCCGGTGTCAGAAATGGGATACTTGCTCTCTGACAAAACAGCGTTACACAGAGCCGGCACCTTCTTTTCTTCTAGAAAACTGCAGACGTCTGGGGCTCCGGAAAGCGAGGTGCTAGAGCTGTGTCTGGCTAGGTGTAGTGTCCAAGGAGCTTTGCCAATGTGCTCGCTCTGCACTTGCCCTCTTCTGGGCCAGTTGTGGGTAGAGACTAATAATAGAGCCAAAGGACAGGGTGCTTTTGTAAAGTGGACCAAATGTCCCAGTTCATGTAAAGTTCATGGCACTATATGTGAAAGAAAGCATAGAATCAAATGAAGTAAAAATCTTAAATGAACCAAACTACCATAGAATCTCTGATAGGAATTCCATGCTTGGATAATAAGACTCTAGCAGTAGGGATATATAACCGACTACCTGGCCGGGATGTGATAGTGACTGAAATGCTCAGGGAGATTAGAGAGGCTATTAAAATAAAAAACCTCAATAATAATAATAATGGGGGATTTCAGCTATCCCCATATTGACTGGGTACATGTCACCTCAGGATGAGATGCAGAGATAAAGTTTCTTGACACCTTTAAATGACGGCTTCTTGTAGCAGCTGGTCCTGGAGCCGCCAGAGGAGAGGCAATTCTTGATTTAGTCCTAAGTGGAGCACAGGATCTGGTCCCAGAGGTGAATATAGCTGGATTGCTTGGTAATAGTGACCATAATATAATTAAATTAACACCCCTGTGGCAGGGAAAACACCACAGTGGCCCAACACTGTAGCATTTCATTTCAGAAAGGGGAACTACACAAAAATGAGGAGGTTAGTTACACAGAAGTTAAAAGGTACAGTGCCAAAAGTGAAATCCTTGCAAGCTGCATGGAAACTTTTTAAAGACACCATAATAGAGGCTCAACTTAAATGTATCCCCCAAATTTAAAAACATAATAAAAGAACCAAAAAAAAGCCATCGTGGCTAAACAACAAAGTAAAAGAAACAGTGAGAGGCAAGAAGGCATCCTTTAAAAAGTGGAAGTTAAATCCTAATGAGGAAAATAGAAAGGAGCATAGACTCTGGAAAATGAAGTGTAAAAATATAATTAGGAAGGCCAAAAAAGGTTCAAAAAGTAATAGCAAAAAAATGTTTAAGTACATCAGAAGCAGGAAGCCTGCTAAACAACCAGTGGGGCCACTGGATCGAAATGCTAAAGGACTACTCAAGAACGATAAGACCATTGCAGAGAAACTAAATGAATTCTTTGGGTCGGTCTTCATGGCTGAGGATATGAGGGAGAAACCCAGATCTGAGCCATTCTTTTTAGGTGACACATCTGAGGAACTGTCCCAGATTGAGGTGTCATTAGAGGAGGTTTTGGAACAAATTGATAAACTAAACAGTCATAAGTCACCAGGACCAGATGATAATCACCCCAGAGTTCTGAAGGAACTCAGATGTGAAATTGCAAGACTACTAACTGTCATCTGTAACCTATCATTTAAGTCAGCTTCTGTACCAGATGACTGGAGGGGAGCTAATGTGATGTCAACTTTTTAAAAGGGCTCCAGAGGAGGCTCTGGCAATTACAGGCCAGTATTCCTGACTTCAGTGCCAGGCAGACTGGTTGAAACTATAGTAAAGAACAAAAATGTCAGACACATAGATGAACATAATTTTGGGGGGGAATAAGTAACATGGTTTTTGTAAAGGGAAATCATGCCTCACCAATCTACTAGAATTCTTTGAGGGGGTCAACTAGCGTGTGGACAAGGGGGATCCAGTGGATATAGTGTACATAGATTTTCTGAAAGCCTTTGACAAGGTCCCTCACCAAAGGCTCTTAAGGAAAGTAAGCTGTCATTGGATAAGAGGGAAGGTCCTCTCATGGATTCGTAACTGGTTAAAAGATAGGAAACAAAGGGAGGTATAAATGGTCAGTTTTCAGAATGGAGAGAGGTAAATAGTGGTGTCCCCAGGGGGCCTGTACTGGGACCAGTCCTATTCAACGTATTCATAAATGATCTGGGAAAAGGGGTAAACAGTGAGGTGGCAAAATTTGTAGATGATATAAAACTACTCAAGATATTTAAGTCCCAGGCAGACTGCGAAGAGCTACAAAAGGATTTCTCAAACTTGGGTGACTGGGCAACAAAATGGCAGATGAAATTCAGTGTTGATAAATGCAAAGTAATGCACATTGGAAAACATAATACCAACTATACATATAAAATGATGGGGTCTAAATTAGCTGTTACCACTCAAGAAAGAGATCTTGGAGTCATTGTGGATAGTTCTCTGAAAACAGCCACTCAATGTGCAGCGACAGTCAAAAAAACAGAATGTTGGGAATCATTAAGAAAGGGATAGCTCATAAGACAGAAACTATCATATTGCCGCTATATAAATCCATGGGGCGCCCACATCTTGAATACTGTGTGCAGATGTGGTTGCCCCATCTCAAAAAAGATATATTGGACTTGGAAAAGGTTCAGAAAAGGGCAACAAAAATGATGAGGGGTATGGAACGTCTGCTGTATGAGGAGAGATTAATAAGGCTGGGACTTTTCAGCTTGGAAAAGAGACGACTAAGGAGGGATATGATTGAGGTCTATAAAATCATGACTGGTGTGGAGAAAGTAAATCAGGAAGTGTTATTTACTCCTTCTCATAACACACGAACTAGGGGGTCACCCAATGAAATTAATAGGCAGTAGTTTAAAACAAAGAAAAGGAAGTATTTTTCACACAATGCACAGTCAACCTGTGGAACTCCTTGCCAGAGGATGTTGTAAAGGCCAAGACTATAACAGGATTCAAAAAAGAACTAGATAAGTTCCTGGAGGATAGGTCCATTAATGGCTATTAGCCAGGATGGGCAGGGATGGTGTCCCTAGCCTCTGTTTGCCAGAAGCGGGGAATGGGCGACAGGGGATGGATCACTTGATGATTCCCTGTTCTGTTCATTCCCTCTGGGGCACCTGGCACTGGCCACGGTCAGCAGACAGGATACTGGGCTGGATGGACCTTTGGTCTGACCCAGTCTGGCCGTTCTTATGTATGTTTGTGCCCTGAATCTTCCTTTACCCAGGTCTGCAGCGTTGGTGAGCACTGTACATTAACCCATCCTGCTCATGGATTCACGGGCTTTGTTGAAGTAGTATTGATGTTTATAGACGGCCCTAATGAGGGTGCTGTGCTCAGGGGCGAGAAGCTGTGTTCATGTACCAGGTACCCCTTTTCAGAAAATCCTAGCTCCAGGCATGGCATCATAAATGGATTATTCCTTGACCATACGAATTCACCCACAGTTCCGGCAGAGCACACTGCATCACGAAAACGCCCTTTGTTCTGGATTTCTTCACTGCTTCGCTACTGGGTTTGAGGTGTGGGTGCCGAGATGATGGGCTGCCTGGAAACACTCTGGACCTGAATAAATACCTTGGACACTCTGTCAGCAGCACGATGGGCTTCCAGAGACGTTCTGCCCGGTTTGGAGTGTTTTCAGCTCTGCTCCCTGTCTCTGTGAGCCAGAGGGGGCGTGCTGGTCTCTCTGAGGAGCAGACTTCTCCCCATGCCGGGGTATGATCTTTCTCTGCAAGGCTGATTAACAGAGCCAAAGAAACTTTCGACATGGGGATAGTCTGAAACTACAGGGCGTGATCTAGAACAGATGGAACCCTGAATAAATAGGAACTGGAGCTGAGCGGAAGGGGAGCAAATGTGGAGTAAGATACCAGAGAAAGTGGCATGAGCAGAGAGCAATGAATGAATACAAGATGCTAAACTCTTCTTTCTGGAGGAAGGGGATCTGGAGACATGGAGATGAAATCAGGTCGGCAGGATTAATTCCCCTCTCACCCCGCTCCAGAAAAGGAGGCTGCGCTTTGGCCTATACAGCTTTTTTATATTCCTAAGATCTCTGAAATGGCTTCAGAAGAGGCTGCGTATTATGGCCTGAGAGTGAGACCCTGAACCCAGGTCGTGACAACCAGAATGGGGGCGGAGGGTGGGGTTCTGTTGGCTCTCTCAAAGGCTGGTCTCGTTGTGACTTGGATCTCCAGCTGCTGTTTTACTGATTAGAAAGCATCGCTCTGTTGGTTCAGTGCCAGCAGTCTTAAGGATCTCTCTCCCTCTCTTTCAGTGCTCCGGCTTTCGACCAATGCCGGTCAGTGGAAGGAGCCCGCCAGCAAGGTGACGCATGCGTTAGTCAATATCAGGTAAGGCGTGGGAATGAATAGCAGCCTTGGAGTTCTTGGGAGGTGTTCTGTGTGGCTCGGCCGGTTTGACACTTCCATGTTTGTTGCACAGAGTTTGTTCTGGAATTTAAATTGCTGCCTTAAGCAAAGGGGGTGGAGGGCTCATGAAAGTTTGAATTAATTTCTATAATAATAATAATGCTTAGCTCTTCCAGGGGGCTCTGCGCGGTCAAAGCAGGAATGAGGTCATCCTAATTGCACCCCTGGCATGCTGGCAGGGCGATTGTGGGTCAAAGGGGCTTTCACTCTTGCTTGATTCCATTGCATTCATGAGACTACAATCGCTGCTTCTGAGTCACCTGCTCGTGGTGTCAGTCTTGCCCACAGAGAACGCCTTTGCAGAGCCCATGCAGAGGCTTTAAGCCAGTTCCCAAACCCCTTTCAAAACTGCAAGGAATTAAAAAAAAGTACAAATGCTTATTTAAAGATGGTTTCAGTTGGACCTATTGAACTCTCCTGCCCCAGGGCCACAAGTCAGTCACTAGCTGATGGGGTTCGGGAGTAACTGTCCCTATTACCACGTTAGTCCACAGCTGTCGAGGCTTCCATCATAGCTTCAGGGTTTCTTGCTCTGAAATCTCTAATCTCTGGCCACTGCTGGAGACAGCACGCTGGGCTGGATGGCCCATGGGTCTGACCCAGGCTAGTTGGAAGGTGGAGGGAGGGGAATTTAGTGTTTGATCACCATAAAAAACCCATGTCAGCTACCAAGGCTTGTACCCAGCAGCACCCCAGTCACTCCTTGAGTGTGGGACCCCTTTCTCCCACCTTTTGGTGTGTTTTTCTCATTGCCGATGGGGTGCTCCGTGGGGCAGGCACTGCACCGTTCTCTGTGTTTGGGAGGCACCAAACACGGTGTGGGCACCACCGTGTAAATAATCAGTGGCATTGGCCATATTTTCCAGAAAGGGAAACTGAGGCCCAAGTCAACACTAAAAGTCAGGAGCAGAGTCAGAATTGGAACTGCACCGAGGCATGCTGCCTTCCTGGGAAGCAGAACGTAGCTTAATGGAGCTGTCTCGGTTCTTTGCAATTCCCTCACAACAGACGACAGTGTGTACAAGGCAAACTCTCAGGGCACATTTCAAGGAAATATGTGTTTTATGTGTCTATAAGTCACCTTTGAAGGTTTCCTCTGTAAGCTTCATTTCCTCACATAGAGGTTCCAGAAGACTTTTATTTTGTTCCCATCTTTATTTTTCATAAACAGATCTAAATGAAAGCTTTGTGGGCAGATAATCCTCCCTAAATGAAGCTGCAGAGCAGATAGCGTTTAAAGTGTCACAAGTGTCTGCCCTTGGAGTGCTCTGGAAACGCCGAAGCGTCTCTAAACTGGGAAGGGAGTATTCACAGGTGGAAAGGACGTGGCTGCCCGGTTTCTAGGCTTGCTCTGTAGCATGTAAACGAGCAGGGTAACTTTCCCTTTTGGGCGCCCCGTCTCCCCAACACTGATTCGTTAAAACTGATCCTCTCAAGCAGCTGAAAAGATAAAAGCAAACAATTGGCAACGTGATTTCCTTCCCACTGCTGCCCTCGCCGGGGGTATCCAACAGCCGGCAGAGCGGGTGGATGGGGGAAACTGGCCCCACGGGTTCCTGTTTTAGCCTTGAGATAGATTTTAGTTGTTGTTGCTCCGTGCATGCTGTTCTTCCACCCTCCCTTTCAGTTCAGATCCCTTCTTTGTCATGAATTGTTGTTCCCTACGGGAGGATGTCAGGGTGCCGGCCTGCCTCAAACACGTAGTTGTCAGGTGTGTGCCTGAGGAGGCACTAATTAGAGCCCCTCTTCCTGGGCTAAGGTTGTTGAGTAGGTCCTGGTAACGCAACTACAGTATCACGTAGAACCCTGGGATTTCTTTAATCCATATTAACCGGGTGGCCGGCCTGGGTGCAGCCCAGACTGCGCTTGGGGGAATGGATCTTCTAGCAGTTGACAGAGGTTGTGTTCATGCTGCTTCAGCTTGAGCAAAGCTCGCGTGGACTTACCTGCCGACCCTGACTGGGGTGGAGTGTTGGGTTCTGTTGTGAAGCTGTTGTGAGGGAAAATTTAGCAGGCCTTAAACTTTAGTCAAGGCCCTGAGTTTGGTCAAGCTTGCTTACAGGCCTTAAACGCGTGGATCGATTTTTCCACATCACTATGTTCTTCCGTCTCACAAGCAGGACTTCGAGAGACACTTTCATTTCAGTGAGCCGTGGCCGGGGGTGGGGTGGGGGAAAGAGACGGATGGGACACTTTCAAGACTATCGCACGTAAACCATCAACCTGTTTCCCATTTTAGTCTCTGTAATTTCCCCTCGCTGCTCTGTGCTGTCTGCTGGGGCCTGCAGAGTCTGCTGGTCACACGTACTGTGTGAAAGGCAAGAGGGGCTGCGTTTCATCCAAGGAAGGCAAGACTTTCAGATTTAGGCAGGTTTATGCAGGTCTCAGCTGGGCAAAATGTGGGCACTCCTGCATTTTGGACTGGCATATCATGGAAGCTTTAGAAACTGGTTTTTACCTTTAACCCGAACCAATGCCCTGGTGCCAGTGGGCCATTGTCTACTGTTGGCATGTCTTGTTCAAAGACTCTCAGCTCCTACCGTCAAGAACACGTATGAGAGATTCGGATTGTTCTCTGCATACAAGCAGAGCTACGTTTTGGTCCTCATTGTGATGGCTAAAGTTAAATTACTCCCAGGATGGGAAGTTGGTGGTTGCCTAGGGATCAGTGATCATGGCCTGATTGCTTTCAATAAAGGCAAATGGAGGACAGTCCCAGCCAATGATATACATACTTGGTGCTTCAAAAGGCGTCATTTCCCAAAGATGAGGAAAATTATCAGGGAAATTTGGGAGGAAAAATGTACACGGAAAAATATGCATGTAAAGTGGGAGTACTTTAACTGATTAGGTGGCCAAAAAGCCGCAACTCCACAATCAAGAAAGAGGACAACTTTGGCTAAAAGCCCATCCTTGTTCATTTGGGGGAGTGAAAGCAGAGATTAGAAATAAAAAAGCAATGTCTAGCATGGGGGAAAAGGGGAAATAGATAGCAATCGATATAAATGAAGTCATGAAGTTTAGAAAATTGATAAGGTAAGCTAAAGACAGGGGAAAATCTCTGGCTGGCAGAGCCAAGGGCAATAAGGTGTTTAAGTATATTAGGAATGAAAGAAATCCAATTGATGGTATAGGCCCATTATCAGATGGAGCTGGTAACATTGTTAATGATGCAGAAAAGGCAGAAATTTTCGAGATATTTCTATTCAGCATTTGAAAAGGAGCAGGATGATGTATTGAAATCACACAAGGATGAGGAATTATTTTCCAGGCCATTAGTAGTTATGGAGAACAGTGGTACTGGAACAGTTTTTATAATGGGGGTGCCGAAATCATGTATTTGGGTTGTTGCTACCACTTCAAGCCAACAGGTGCAGCAGCACCCCTGGTTCCAGTACCTATGATGGAGAATGTTAAAACACATCTGCTAGAGATAAACATTTTGAAATCTGAAGGCCCAGATAACTTTCACCCAAGAGTCCTAAAAGAGTTGGCCGAGGAGATGTATAGCTTGCTGCTGTTAAATTTTAATAAATCTTGGAGTATGGGGGAAATTCCAGAAGACTGGAAGAGCGCTAACGTTGTGCCAATATTCATGAATGGCAAGTGGGATGACTAGGGTAACTATAGACTGGTTAGCCCAGGCAAAGTAATGGAAAAGTGAATCCAGGATTCAATCACAAAAAAAATAAAGGCTAGGAATATAATTATTGCCAATAATGTGGTTTTTTTGGAAAATAGTTCTTGTCAAACAAACCTGATTTCATTCTCTGAGATAAATTTCATTGATAAAGATAACTGCAGATGTAATATACTTAAACTTTTTAAGAGGTTTCACTTAGCATCACATGACTTTCTGGTTAAAAAATAAGTGCTATGCAATATCAGTGTACCATACATAAAATGGATTAAGAACTGGCTAAGTGACAAAACTCAAAAAGTAGTTGTAATGGGGAACCATCAATGAATGGGGGAGTTTCTAGTGGGGTCTCTCATAGAATGGAACTAGGCCTGATGCTATTCAACATTCTCATCAATCATCTAGAAGTAAACATAAAATCATGGCTGATACAATTTGCAGATGACGCAAACGTTGGCAGAATGGTGAATGCTGCTGAGGACAGGGTAGTGAAAAGGGGTTCCCCTCGCCCAGGTGCGCCTCCTTGTGCCTGGGTCTGGGAATTAGCTCTCCCCTGTCTCTTGACCCCTTCCATTGGTTGCTCACACTTTGGCTCCTCTCTCTCTCCGTGACTCAGCCCTCTGGCCAAGTCTCTGTATCGTTCCTGCCCTTCCAGGGAAACAAGGTCCCACCAGACAAGCTGTCCAGATGCCTTCTCAGATGGTCTTCGTTCCAGTTCTCCAGGTCCTGTGTCTGTTTCCCAGTGGCTGGTAGGGGAACCTGGGCCTGCCTGCTACTCCAGCTTTCAGCCCAGGGTTCTATGACTAGCAACCTAGGTCTGCTCGGTCCCAGTGACTGTTTCCCTGGGCTTCTTCCTACCGCACCTCTCTATCTCCTTGACTATATCTGGAGTTTGCCACCAGAGCTTCGTCCACTCCCTGTGGCTACTTCACCCCTCTTGTCAAGACTCCTTAGGCCAGGGTAGGACCCTAGGGTTTACTCACCCCCTGGATCTCCTCCTTGGCCCTGGCTAACTCTCTTTCCTTCTTGGAAGTGACTGCAGATCTCTTCTCTGCAACCTCTTCCTGATCTGACTTCCTGTTTTATAATCCCGCCCAGCCCTTAGGCTGTATCAGTCCCTACTTCCCCTCCACGTGCATAATATATAGTTAATTGGCTCATGTGATTTGCCCCACACTGGGCACTAAGAGGTTAATAGAGCCCTCGGGCAGCTACGCGGAAGGTAGCCAATCAGAGAAGGCCTGAGGGGAGCAGCCAATAAGGGTTGGGCAGGCCCCTATAA